ATGTCGTGAAACCCCCAGGCTCCACGGGGACACGAAACCTCAGATAAAAACTGAGCAGATGAGTCCAGATCACTACAGCAGTTCCTCCACTCCTCCACAATCTGATTACACCTCCTTTAGTTCAGGCTCATCCTCCAACACCCACCAATCTGACTACAGTGACCTCCAGGGCTCCGGTTTCTACAGCAGTGCTTTCTCCGGATACCCCGCGGCCGGTCTGTATCAGTACCCGTACTTCCACTCCTCCCGCAGGCCTTATGTTTCACCTCTTATCAACAGCTTGGCCTTGGCACCACCTCCACACAGTCCTCCTCCATTAGTCTGGGAGCAGCCGGTCTACACAACACTCAGCAGGCCTTGAAGACGAGGAAACTCCCAGCAGAAAACTTTAGATATGGACAAACGTCACAGGACAGAACAGTAGCTGCTTTGTTGACCGGTTTTATAATTTAATTCTGAAGGAAAATGCCGATAACAGTAACTGTTGTATTGTGCATTAATATACAGTTACATTTGTTTATTTTCAAGGATTTTTTTTTTATATGATCGACAAAGATTCAGTGTTTTGAGTCTTTTCTGTTTGAGGCATGACATTTGAAACCTCCAATAAAAAGTCACACTAATGACATTTCAGTATGTGATTCTCAGCCATTTGAGCTAAAGTTCTTCATGGCTGGAGATATTGTGTCTGTTTTTAAATAATATAGACTCTACATTAATAACAGAACATATTAAAGGTAGCTGGTTCTCACCCCAGATGGGACTCGAACCCACAATCCCTGGCTTAGGAGGCCAGTGCCTTATCCATTAGGCCACTGGGGCTTCAAAATCCTGCATTCTTACCAGTTCTGTTGACAAACAATGCCCAAAATGTGTGTTTTTAAATGAGAAAACAATGGCATCTCTTATCTTTCAACCTGTTGTGTCACTTCTGCTTCCTACAAAACACCCACCAGAATGCCAAACTCAAAGCATTTGAACTGTAAGTGGCAGAACAAGAGATACAGTAAGGTGAGGGGATTTCACATGAGGTTCTCTCTCAATCCATTTTGCACCAAACTGAGTTCTGTTCCAGTCCAATGCTGGTGTGAGTTCAACTAACTGCGAACCTGTTCACTTTTCCACTGACATGATGTCCTCATTTACAACTCCTCCCAATTCTCTAATATGAACCCAACAAACTCTTGGTAATGTGCTAAGTTATCAATCACCCCAGATGGGACTCGAACCCACAATCCCTGGCTTCGGAGGCCAGTGCCTTATCCATTAGGCCACTGGGGCTTTACAAATGGACATTTTTAACACGAAAAATACAGAATGTGGTTTTAAATGAGATACTGTAACAATGGCCGATGTCGTCATCTGACCTCTTGTCTCAGTTCTGCCTCCTACACATCCACAGCCGAAATTCCAAAACTCAATGCTTTTGAACTGTAAGTGGCAGAACAAGAGATGAGGTGAGGGGACACCTTTTCACATTTGGTTTGCTCTCAATAGTGTTTGCACTGAATTGAGTTCTGTTCTAGAGCTAGTTTGACTCCAACCGGTCAATTACATAGTTAACACTAACCTCTTCTCAAACACTAATATGAACCCATAGACCTCTTGGTTACAGGCCCAGCTGTCAATCACCCCAGATGGGACTTGAACCCACAATCCCTGGCTTAGGAGGCCAGTGCCTTATCCATTGGGCCACTGGGGCTCAAATTCCTATCTTTTGACCGGTTCTCTAGAGATTCAGCTCCAACGTAAAGCGATATAAAGTCAAGTCTATGCTGTTGGTCAGTCTGTGAGAAAAATAACCGACTTCCAAACTCCTGTTACTTCTGGATCCAACAAAACAGCAGCCAAACTCAATGCCAAACTCAAGGCTTCAAATCAACCCAAATGATGAAACCAATGGATGACTACCTCCACTTGTTATTTCCCACTTTCACACTCAAATGACCAAACTGAAAACTGTTTTTTTGTACCAACCAGATGCCATCATTACATGGCCAACCCTAACCCTAGTGCTTGGTTAGGTAGTGGGCAAATGTGCGAGAGTGACAATATATGCTGTCGATCACCCCAGATGGGACTCAAACCCACAATCCATGGCTTAGGAGGCCAGTGCCTTATCCATTAGGCCACTGGAGCTTCACGTCCTGAGTTTGTGGGTCCAGGAATATAGAAATCTATGAGAGAAATTACCCTACTCCCAAGTGTGACCCTTTTACCCAAAGCAACTCACAACGAGTGCATTCAACCATGAAGATATACTCTTTAAAAAGCATAGATTACTGCAAGTACAAGGTATATATATATACATTCCTGTTTCTCACACAATTCGGTCTGATGGTGCAGCTGTATCACAACATTAAAAGAGGCGTCAGAGTCCCATCCCTGAGCAGACAACATGTCTTCCTGCTCTTACGGCTGTCACTACCGCTCTTCAGCTGCGTCTCCAGTTGTTTCTAGTTGTTTCCAGTCCAGCAGCTGCTCCTGCTGGTTTCCTGTCAGGAGATTATCTGATTTCACAGTCCAGGAGCTGATGGACAGCACAGCTGGATTGGGCTTTCCAAACACTGAGCTGTAAGAGAAATGCTACTTTGATTCACGACCCGGAAAAAGGCTTTGACTTGTCGACAGGACCACTGTGTAGTTAGATTTAAAGGGGAGACTCTATACATGTTAAGGGCATTTTTTTTTTAAAGATATCACCATGAAACTTCCCCGATTGACAATATTTTTTTGTATTGCAAGTTTTCGGAAGTTAAATGTTTAAATATGCATATGAGTCATTTTGTTGGCAAATAAGGGTCAATGATTTGTACGGAGGGAATTTCAGAATGCTATCACTCCATAAATCAGAAAATGCTATTAGCTGTCTTAAAATAAGGCCCTTTTTCACATGTTTTTATGATAAAACGCCATATAAATCAGGCTCTAAATGACATTTCAATGAACCCCTTTGTTAAAAAGCTTCAGAATATAGATAGGAGAAATGTTTGGTGGGTAGAAGTGCTTCTGAATTAGAGATGAATGGTAAGAGAGTACATACATGTTGTACAGACAGATGAATAAAATAATAAACAGATAATATAATGACACTTCCCCAGTTGATTACTTAAGGCAATTATGTTCTTATAATTAGGCTACAAGTTTAACATTTTTGTTTAAATATGCAAATGAGGCATTATTTTTATGCTAACTTTTGATGATTTTAGGATAATTCTACACACAAAAATAGACAAAATAGTTTAAAATATATTTTAATGTGTATTTTTTTTGGTTTTCTTTCCACTAGTCTGCAATATTGTATGTGATGTTAGCAAAATATAACTTGAAAATGGATCATTGCATGAAGTGTGCCGCCATATTAAGCAAGTCCTACACTCAAGAAACTCCCAAATGGGTAAAAAAAAAGTTGTTCCTAAGATTTTCAGCTCAGTTTTCGTATTAATAAATGTTTCCTCAGCCACCTTATTATCTCTGGGACAAACAGGTGTCTGTTGGGATGACGTCCCACAGCTTTCCCCCACTTCCTGTTTGGGTTCTGCTGCAGCTCAGTGGATCGCTGTCTGGTGAGTGGTGACCCGCCTGCCAACGACAACTCGACTACAGACAGACGCCCATTGATGCAATAAACACACCGTTAGGGGGGAAGTGTTTGTGCAGAGGTGGGAAGTAGTGGAGTACAATTATCTTCATTACTGGATTCTGGTAATGTTGCTGGTATCAGTACTTTACTCCACTGCTTATTTACGACGACTTTTTACTTTTACTTCTTACATTTTGAACACAAATACCTGTACTTTCTACTTCTTACATGTTGAACACAAATACCTGTACTTTCTACTTCTCTCATTTTCCAAACAGGCTGGTTCCTTTAGTTTGAATGTGTGTTTGGTGGCGTGATCATTATTATTTAGAGTCATTGCGTGCCTATTGATTTGAACACGATCCGTGTATCCATCATTTCCTGGTCTTCTCTAAAGAAGAGGGACCAATGAAAACGTTGTCATGTTGCCGTTGTTCAGCATGGAAACATTCATTAGCTAACAATGACATTATTGTTCTATTAATATAAAGGGAGGTCAGGTACTCTTTAAAACAGCTGCTAGTTATGGGTACTTTTTACTGAAGTACATTTCATAGCCTCTTTACTTTTACTTGAGTAAAGAAGTTTAGTCAGTACTTCTACTTTCACCAGAGTATTTTTAAACACGAGTATCTGTACTTCTACTTGAGGAAAGGATGTGTGTACTTTTGCCATCTCTGTGTGTGTGAGAGTGGCGAGATCATCAGGTGACATTCACACACAGAGCAGGTCACACACACTTTCTCCCGCTGCACAGATCTCCTTTAACAGGTGAGAGCGCCATCTACTGGTGTATAAAAATACATCTTACCTTCTTAGTTAAATGCCAGTTTTGACCTTCCATGTGTTTCAGCATCGCAGTGTAATATAATTTTACGATGGAGGACGTGAGAAAAAAAGAATTGGGATGTTACAAAAAGTTAATAAAATAAAAAATAGAGTTCTGTCTTCAGTCTGAGAACTCTGAACTAAATGTATTTTTGTTCTGAAATAAAAATATATTTTGAAGAATATGTTCTGAATATTTGTTGTCCTCCTGCAAATATAAGAATTCTGAAATTAATGTATTATTAATATTATTTTAATTTCCTGTATTTATTTCCACATTTATTTATTTCTGTATATATTTCCTAATTTATTAATAATTTAATTAATTTATTCCTGTATTTATTTCCATATTAATTAATGTATTCCTCCATATTAATCCGTCACCAATCTGCATTACTGGTGAAAAACTCCATCTTCTGCTGTGTAAACGGATGTAACTGCACCTTCATTACCAGTGGCTTTACACTTCACTTACACCTTAATGTTCTTGGATGTGCTTCAATAAACCCCCCTAGTGTTGAAAAGTACAATTGTTTAAAACAGACATATTTGCAAAGAAAAAAAGCCATCACTTCCACTTGATTTTAGCTTCATCTGTATTCATGTTAAGTTTTTTATAATGAAACAAACTTGTCACTGTCATTTAAAGTTCAACACAACAACGTGTCTTCAAAACCAGATGGTCAAACAAACCAGTTGCAGAGTAGAAGTGTTGTATAAATTACAATCCTGTCACATTACAATCCTTTTTAAAAGCAGCAACAACGATGATATGTCCGACGGTACGAATAAATAAGAGAACATGGAGGTTTTAAAGAACCCTTCGGCCACCTTAACAGCCACGGTGATCACTGAGAGATTTCAGGTGTGTGTTTTTATGCATAATTGTTGTTAACAGCACTTTGTAGGTTCAGGTTTTTTAACAGGGTCTCAGTGCCAGAGGTTCAACCTCACAGCAACCTCAACAGAAAACTACACACACACACACACACACACACACACACACACACACACACACACACACACACACACACACACACACACACACACACACACACACACACACACACATTTTAAGCCACTGTCATCAAAACTGTACATTCAATAAATTAACAATGCATTGTCTTTGTTATAAGCAACCAGTGAAATGACTCTAGATTACATAATTACATTAGATTACAGGTAGGATGAACCAGACGAGAGAAAGGGAATGATCCACATGGCTGAGGAAAGGTGGGATGTTAATGTTTAGCACGAGTTTGGTAGGCGCGTAGTGATGACATCATCTACCCTCTGGGCCTTCAGTCCCATTTGAGTTCAAGTTTTCTTCACACAGATAGGCTCCAGTCCCTTTGTCTCTATATTTTCATTTTCTTATCCCCACTTCCTCCCCACATGGTCTCAGGTCACACGTTGGGATTGTCTCTGATCTGATGAGACTTCGCTGAGTTTCGTCTTCCTGCAGTCTTCAAGGCTTGTGTTTAAAATGGGCCTCCACTGAAAAGACACAAGAAAATAAAGTTAGTTGAAACAGAAGAACGGGGAGATAGTTCTATAGGTTAGACAGGTTTTTGGGTTGTAAATGGCCTCAGATTTGACCCCAACCTACAATGAATGGACAGTGGCTTATTCATTGTAGTCTAGGGTTGCGGTTGAATAGTCCATTTAGCTTAGGAACCTTCCTAACGGAGTGAAATGACCCGGAAGTCCCTCAGTGGCAGCCATGATAAGAGCCGTTCGAATTCTCTAGAATGATAGGAAAGGAGGTTTCAAACTTCCTTTATAACCTCCTTTAGCTTAGGAAACACTGGGCCTTCCTTGACGAAAGGAAAGGAGCAAATGCTGCCCCACAATGCCTTGCAGCCGCAGCATTTGCCGTCACACAGCAGTCGGCCGTTCACGGAAACAACTGATTATGACCGAGAAGTTATATCATGAAAGTTACGGTGCTTATTAAGCTTTTTAAAACGTATGTGGTAAGTTGCCAAAGTGCTTTGTTTTGAACGTTCATCAGTATTATAATCAAAAAGAGAAATATGAACGTTAGTTTTTACTGAAATGATCAAATAAAGTCAACATTTTCCTACGGACACCTTCTATTATGCCCTCCGGCAACCAAGAAGAGAAAATTTGGTGTACGACGCCGTAAACACACATATGTCGTTTGACCATTTTCCACCCCGGCGTACAGAAATTCGGGGTCACCGGGTTAACGCTATTTCCGGACCGGAGGATTCGGTCGCCTAAACACGCCCAAGCTCAAGGTAGACGCATTAAATATCTTTTTTTACGTTAGCTAAACCGGGCTGACTTAGCCCTCCCGCTGACACCGGACCGCTCCCTAGACTCCCAGCAGAAAGTTGGTCCTTCCAACACCACAAGGCTAGGGTCCCCCCCGGGTACGTCAGTTTGTAGAGCTACATTTGTAACCCGGTCTCATGACATTGGGACTCAACAACCCTAAAGGCATACCACGTACCGGCGTCACACACTTACACCATACTTATAATCCAAGGATCTCCTTCCAATGGTCACGAGACATACTTACCCACTTTACCCCACTTACTGTACATTATCGCATTTCGACGACAACTCCCCAAAAAGAATTTCTGACCAGAAAGAGTGTAGTCACACGACCCGGGGTTTGGGAATGATGTTAACCGAGTCTAGTCGGTTACCGAGGGGATTCGGTCATAACATCCAAGCTCTGGGAAAGACCGGTAAATGTCGAACTTATGTTTTGGTATCCCGTATTCTTATATCGTATATTATTCCTTTCGAGTCAGTGCATTCCGAATATGTGGTACCTGTCACAGAATATTTGTTGGTCGACTCCGTTTTTAGTGTCTCGCAATCAGACACTATGGTACAAAGGGGGAGGAGAACAAAGAACAAAAGAATAGAGTAAACTTTGCTGCGTAACACAATGGCGCATGAAGCAATTACGGACAATGCTTGTTCGCACTTTTACGCAACCCACATATAGTGGTAAGTTTTGTAGAAAATTTTCAACTTGTTTTGGGGTGTGGTCGAGTCACT